GCGCTCACCTTGTTTTTTGAGACAGGGTCTCTGACTGGCTTGGAGCTCACAGATTCAGGCAGGCTGGCTGGCTAGCGAGCCACAGGGACCCACCTGTCTCCACTTCCATGCTGGGCCTTCAAGCAAGGCTGCCATCCCAGGCTTTCTTGATGTGGGTTCTGGGGATCTGAACTCGGCTCTTCATGACAGCGCTGCCTCCCCAGCCGAGTCCTGAGCATCCTGTAGACTCGTTTGACATTTGTTTTTAATGTGAGTGTGTGAAGTGTGTGTGCAGTGTGTGTGCAGTGTGTGTGCAGTGTGTGTGCAGTGTGTGTGCAGTGTGTGTGTGCAGTGTGTGTGTGCAGTGTGTGTGCAGTGTGTGTGTGCAGTGTGTGTGCAGTGTGTGTGCAGTGTGTGTGCAGTGTGTGTGCAGTGTGTGTGCAGTGTGTGTGCAGCACACGCGGAGGTCAAAGGGCAAGTTACGGCGTCAGTTCTCTCCTCGCGTGTGTTCCGAGGATGGCCACCTGAAGCCGTCCTTGGCCTCCACTCATATAAACAGAATCACACGGTATGCCCTAAGTCAGTGGTGCCCAACCTGAGGGTCTCGACCCCTTTGGGGGCTGCACACCAGGTGACCTGTGTATCAGATATTTACAATACAGTTCATAACCATAGCAAATCTACAGTGATGAAGTCACCGCGAGATAGTTCTGTGGGGGAGGGGGGTCACCACAACAGTACAGCTCAGAGCCGTATCAAAGGGTCACAGCATCAGGAAGGCTGAGAACCGCTGGCCAAAATGATCCGGTCACAATGTGGGGATGTTGTATTAGATGCTATGAGTCGCTTTTCTCCTGGGAGGCCCCTAACCAACACCATGTAATCCTAGCGCCAGGGAGGTGGGGAGGGGCAGATCCCTGGGCCCCGCTGCCCAGCCAGCCTAGCCTACTTCTTGCATCCCAGGCCCTTGAGACACCCTGTTTCAGAACTAGGGTAGGCGGCACCCAAGCAACAGCAGCGAGGCTGGCCTGTAGCTGTCCCTCCTGAGGACACAGTGCGGGGAGGGTGGTTAATCTACCTTAGGCCACAGAGGACACTTATACCAAGGCATGGCGGTTCAAGCCTCTAACTCCAACATTCAAGAAGCCGTTGATAGGGCCATGGCTGGGCATGGTTGAGAATGCCCGGCAGACCTAGGCACATCGGCCTAGCCATTTCCGGGTCAAAACGTCTTGCATGACTAGGACCCCATGTCTTTGCGTTGTTGCATAAAGCGCACAGTGCAACCATGTGATCTACGCGCAAGTGTGGTATAGCCATATGGGCCTGTGTGCACAGGTGCGGCCCAGCCTTTATAACCCGGCACCATATTCCTGGCTGCATCTCTTTACTCACATGTCTTTCCCGCAGGCCTGTGCTCATCTGTCTCTCTCTCTTATCTTTTTTTTGTAAAAGATTTATTTATTTATTATGTATACAGCATGTATGACTGCAGGCCAGAAGAGGGCACCAGATCTCATTACAGATGGTTGTGAGCCACCATGTGGGTGCTGGGAATTGAAATCAGGACCTCTGGAAGAGCAGTCAGTGCTCTTAACCACTGAGCCATCTCTCCAGCCCCTCTCTCTCTTATCTTAATAAAGCTCTTGTTAGTGGATTCTGTTGTGTTTCGTGACATTTCCTCACAGGGTAAGAGTGCCGCTAAATAAGTAACATCTGGTGCCATTGATGAAACGGGAGCTTCTGGGCACTCTGTGCCTGGAAACTGGGAAAACCGGGGACTCTGCTCCATATGCGACAGACCACTGTCCATCATCTGGCCGCACAAATCTGCATGCAACACCACTTCTTCAATTGGTGAGCCCCCACTTTTCGGCCAGCGTAAACGGTTTGCTGAATCTGTGTGAATGCCATTGTGTGTCTGGCATCTCAGTGAGTATTCTTGAAGCTGGGGGAATCCCCGGCCACGGGCTTTACTGGCTACGGTCGGCCCATATTGCAGGCCTAAATTTGTAGCCATCTCCCACATCTGCAGTTTGAGATATTCCTCGTGGTTGGACCACCGCCATTGAGTGCATCCTGCGGCTGTGTGAGAGTAACACATTTTTCCGGCTTGACGAAGTGGTAGACGCTGTTCCAGATTCCCGGGGAATCCTTGCCTCATGAAGCAGGGCCCCTGCTTTTCAGCTGACAAGCCTTCTAGCAGCCTGTGCCTGTAAAGATCGCTCCTTGGCCTTATGGACGCCTGGGACCTTGACTCCGGATCATATGTGTGTGTGTGTGTGTGTATGTGCTTGTGTGTGTGTGTGTGTGTGTGTGTGTGTGTGTGTGTGTGTGTTTTCTGCCTCTCTGCTGCAGACATGGGAAATAAGGTTTCCAACCCCATCAGTCCTACCTTTCCTCTAGGCTGTCTTCTTGAGGCTTTAAAACCTCTCAGCTTAATACCTTACTTAAAGATTCCTAAGCTTATCCATCTCTGTACTAAGAGATGGCCCAAATATGCTTTAGAAAATAACAAAAAGTGGCCACGGAACAGCTCTGTTGGGAACCAAAAAATGGATGACTGAGCCTTGACCTTTCTTGCTTGGGTGATCTGATGTAACTACACCCTTGACAACTGTTACTAAGTTACAAAAAACAATAACTCCCAGAAAAAAACCACAAAATGTACCTTTAGATTAATATACTTTTAGATTAACTTCCTGGAGTATGTTCGGTTGGTCAGTTGCACAAACTTTGGACCAAAAAGACCTCACCCTGACTCTATTCTTCAAAGAGACCTCACCTGGACCCTATTCTTCAAACTTTCATCCCCCCCTTTCCCCTATTCATTTCTCCTATCTACCAGCATATATAAACCTGCTTCCCCTTGCAATAAACGAGACCTTGATGCCACTCAGACTGACTCTGTTTTTCTTTACGTGCCTGGTCTCCTTTCTCTCTCGCCCCCATTGGTCTTTCAGGAGGTGCCTCCTCGAGTCACACCTAATAACCTGGCCTGCTGGATGGATCACAGCTCCTTAGATCCCGATATTTTATGGGAATTATCTAATTTCTGTCAGCGAACAGGCAAATGGAAAGAGTTACCCTATATCATAGCTTTCTTCTTTCTCAGTGCTAAACCATCTCTTCTGGATTCCTTCTCTCCTGCTCATATGCTCCTAGCTATGCCAAACCAGAAGATTCTCTGACTCTGGAATCCCTGGCTCTAGATCCTGCTAATGAACCTCCACCTATCCAACCTCCGGCTCCCACCCCTACTCCTAGGGTGACTGTTCCTTCAGCTCCTCTTCTGGATTCTTCTCCTTCTAAAGCTGATCCTCCTTTGACAGCAGCTGCTTCTCCCTCGGCAGTGGCCATTTCCAAAGGCCCTGCCCTGGCTCCAACCTCCCCTCCCACCCACCCACTCAAACTGATAAATTGCCTGATTCCAGCCATCCAAACCCTTACACTGTTCTCCCTTTGTGAGAGAGATCCTGGTGTAGATGGACTGATTAAAGTTCATGTTACATTCTCTCTCACAGAACTCTCTCAGATAGAAACTAAGCTGGGTTCTTATATTTCTAATTCTGCTTCCTTTATTAAACGATTTCAATATATAACTCAATTTTATAGTCTCACCTTTCATTATATATATATATATATACACACACACACATACACACACACACACACACACACACACACACACACACACACACACACACATATATATGTGATACTTTCTAATAATTTACTCCCGGAGGAGCGCAGGCGGGTATTGGAGCAGGCTAGGACCCATGCAGACGAAATTCACCAGACTAACCCCTCACACCCCCCAGGAGCTGAGGCCGTTCCTGACCAAGAACCACACTGGGACTATAACACCCAGGGTGGCTCTCTAGCCAGAGATAGGTTTATTACCTGTCTCCTGACAGGCCTCCATAAGGCTGCCCTAAAACCAGTAATCTATGAAAAACTAAAAATGGTAATTCAGGATAAGGATGAAAATCGTCTCACTTCTTAGAGTGGCTCACCAAGGCTCTAATTCAGTTCACTAGCTTAGACCCGGAGAGCCCTGAGGGCAGGCAGTTGCTAATGACCCACTTTGTCTCACAGAGCTTCCCCGATATTAGGGCTAAACTTAAACTTTTAGAGAACTGCTCTCTGACCCCACAGGCAGATCTGCTGGCAATAGCATTTAAGGTGTACCACGGGAGAGATGAGAAGGCCCAGAAAAGGAACTGCCAGATGCTGGCAAGCACCATCCAACCGGCTCCCTGAAAGCCATCTGGTCCCTGTTTCAAGTGTGGGAAAGAAGGCCATTGGCCCGGGCTTGCAACACTGCCCCACAAAGGGCACCAACAAGGCCTTGTC